ACTGTCAATTTGGGTGCAAATGATGTAAAAGGTGACACAGTAAGCTATGTTGAGTACAACGCACCCAAGAACAACCAGATGAAAACCGACTCTGTGCCAGCTCACGATACTACATGAATAGCTGCTTTTAGGCTTTACGCATTAACTTGGACAGACTGAATTAATGCTCAATTTTCACTTGTATTACATATTGATATTGCACAAGTCCAATTTTATGTACATTAAGATATAACCAAATTCTTTTCATTGTTTTCAGAATGGCCATTTTCAGAGGTCTAATATATCAAGGGATGATCTGTGTGAAAATCTGAGAGTTGATGTTTGGATAGTCTGATGGACTGTATTTTCCAGCACTTATTCTTCTCGGAGAGGACAGTTGTTGGTGCAAAAAGGTTACTGCACACTATAGAGCTGTGTTTTATCTAGCAATCATTTAGTTTGTGAGCTCAACATCTTTTAGAATGCCTTCTGAACTGATAGTCTAGCTCCTTTAAGTTTGATCATGCACTGTGTCCAGGAGCGAGGCCAATCTCACTTAAGGTTAGGCTCTAGCTTTCTAAAATCCTAAATGAAAATGACTCAGGAAACAGTTCAGTAAATTTTAGGCTGTTGTGCTAAGGTTAGGGGTTTACAAGATGACTTGACCATGTACTGCACTAATCATATGCTACAACTAATCTCCTACAGTCCTTGGAGGTAACAAAAAATGTTGTTCTAGAACATATGTTATAGCTACAAAGTGAGTACGAAGACAGCAAGAGCAAAGTGCTCTTCAAATCAGCCCATTCCGATCACTAACAGGCCCAAGACTGATACTTAGGAGATGTTGTAATTTGGGACAATTCAGAATAAACAAAAAGTCATACATTTAAGTTTAGTTATCACACTGTCTTGTTTTCCCGTGATCCATAATTAATGCTTATGGTTACATCAATGCCAAGTTTACCAACCTGTATTTACAGCCTGCCCACTATAGGGAGGACCTGCCTGGTTCAAAGTCATCACGAAAAACAAATATCAGCTCCCACCAGACCTCTGGAAATGTTCAAAATTGGAAAAAAATTCAAATATTCTCTAAATTTATTTATTTTCTTTGCCCTAGGTTCATCCAATGAATAGTTGGATTGAGGAGTTGCAGGTCCAATTCCTTGACTGCATGAATTTGTCACTTCCAGCAATGAATTTGAGAGCTTGAAGTTATTCAGGGGAAAACTGGTAATGATATGATCTTCCAACAGTTATCTGTAATATGCCAGATGGTTAGTTTTGCTGTGAGTACTGTAGATGAGACTAAACCTGCTTTCACCCAATTGTCACCAACCTACAGTAAATTGGCTTCTAAAACTAAAAATGAGGGAGTTGGATTAGCTCAACTCAGTAAAAAGGTTGATTTTTTTTTTTGAAAAAGGAATCATTCATGTTGAGGTGGTTGCCATGTGGCTTTCATTTGCTAGCACAAAACCGTAAAGCTTTCTCTTCCAGCATGTGGTCCAAATGCAGAGAAGGCTTCATATATAACTGCAATGCAGTGCCGAATCTAATTACTGGTTAATCGCAGCATAAACTCAGTTCAGATCTGTTGGAATTTTTGTACTTTCTACTCAAGATACAACCACACGACGTGGGGACATTATTTTAGTGAGCTTCTCTCGATTTCTCTTTTTTGTACTCTCAATCTTTGTCTCTCCCAGAAACTGATAACTATGATGTTAAAAGTGCCCTTGCTGAGCTTTCTTCATTTAACCACCCCTCCAGATTTGATCTACCAGACTGATTCTCAGGATGGTAGGACTGACAAAGAACAAAAAGAACAAAGAGCAATACAGTACAGGAACAGGCCATTCGGCCCTGTAAGCCTGCGCCAACACATTTTGCCCTTCAATACTAAAATAGTCTTCAGTTACAGCAGAGATAGTAGGAACTGCAGATGCTGGAGAATCTGAGATAACAAGGTGTAGAGCTGGATGAACACAGCAGGCCAAGCAGCATCAGAGGAGCAGGAAAGCTCACATTTCGGGCCTGGACCCTGAAGAAGACCCTGATTTTCTGAAGAAGGGTCTAGGCGCGAAACTTCAGCTTTCCTGCTCCCCTGATGCTGCTTGGCCTGCTGTGTTCATCCAGCTCTACACCTTGTTATCTTATTTCAGTTACAGCATCTGTATCCCTCTATTCCTTTCCTACTAATGCATTTGTCGAGGTGCTTCTTGAACGCTGCCATTGTGTCTGTTTCTACCACCACCACCTCTGGCAGCATGTTTCAGGCACTACTACCTTTATGTGGAAAAACTTGCTTCGCACGTGTCTTTTTTAAATTTACACCTCCCACTCCCCCTCTTCCTCTCAACCACCACAACCACCACACCTTGAACCTGTGTCCCCTAGTAATTGACCCCTCCATCCTGGGGAAAAAAAACCTCATTCTTTACAATCTATCCATGCCATTCACAATCTTATAAACTTCTATCAGGTCACCCCTCATCCTCCTGCATTCCACTGAAAACAAACCCAGTCTTTCAAATCCAACCTTTCTTCATAGCTAAAATCCCCCATAACCAGGCAACATCCTGGTAAACCTTTTCTGCACTCTCTCAAAAGCATTCACATCCTTCTGCTACTGTGGTGACCAGAACTGTATGCAATACGACATATGAAGAAAGACTGGATTGACTGGGATTCTGCAAACTGGAATTTATAATTGGTTTGGCTGTGGGGTATGTCTCACAGAAACATATAAAACCCGGATGGCACTGGACAGCTAGATGCGGGAAAAATGTTCCTGATTTGGGAAAGTACAGAACTAGGAGTCATAAACTAAGGATAAGAGGTAAGCCATTCAGGACTGAGATAAGGAAGAATTTCTTCACTAGAGACTTGTGAACCTGTGGAATTCTCTACCACAGAAAGCTGTTGGGGCCAGTTTCTTAGATATATTCAAGAGGGAGTTGGAAGTGGCCCTTACAACTAAAGGGATCAAAGGGTATGGAGAGAAAGCGGGAGTGAGATACTGAAGTTGCATGATTAGCCAGGATCATATTGAATAATGATGCAGACTAGAAGGGCCGAATGACCTACTCCTGCACCTATTTTCTGCTACACTAAGTCAAACAAGTGTGACGCAGCTATTACCTCCACCTCTCACTCTACCTGTCCCACACCTTTATGAGCTTTGGGATTTGTGACCTATCGTCCAGTCAGAATTAAGTGCTTTGAAATTTTTCTTGCAAATTGAAATTGAAACTAACCGAGACATAGCAAAAAGACATGGAAAGACCTGGTCTGGCAGTAACAGCTCATAGTGTGGCTTTAGCATAGCAAAGTAAATTAAAAAGAGACCATTTCTCAACATGTTCAATGTGCACTGAGCTCGCCTGAGCAGACTCGGAGTTCACAGCTTTCCTTAACACACAACATCATTTCATAAATGGGGAGAACAAATAAACGTTATGTACTTTAATCTGTTGCATTGCATGAATGGACTTGTGACCTATTTCATTGTTAAAAAGCAAACCTCATCACCAGAGGTAATGATAAATCACTTGGAATTAGCTGAGCTGGACTTAGTGATTATTTTTCAGAAGTTGTTATCCAGTCTGACAGCAGAGGAAGCTGATTCAATGTACACTCAGCTGAACTTACTGGAATGCTCCCAGCTGAATGACTGTATCAGTGCTGATGTGATTTGGCTCCCTCACAATTTGTCAAATTCAATAATTTCTCCAAGCAGTTCCTTCAATAATGCCGGCTACATCTGTTTACTTAAACCATATACAGATAACTACTGAATTCTCAGAACAGAGAGAATGCTCATAATTATGTTTGAAAGAAAAAGGGGTAGACTGTAGGAAAGTGTTACCTCTACGTTTTCATTCTTTGTCAGGTATATGTTGGTTCAAGACATAAGCGGTCCAAGGCAGCACTACAGGAGTGTTGTATCATTACTGGTATGTCTTTCTAGATGAAGCATTAAGCTAGAGGTTCTTTGTCTGGTCCAGCAATTCAATTAGATCAACAAGCATTGTGTCCTTAAACACTCCTCTCTCAACCAGCCTCATTAAAGCAATAAATTAACCAGTCTCTTATTTTGGGATCTTAATGCATGCCTTATTTTCCTGCATAACATGATTAAAGTCATGTCGTTGCAGTAGGTTTATGAAGATATTCAGCTGGCTCAAAACCAGACAGAAATATTATCAAGATAACAAGGTGTAGAGCTGGATGAACACAGCAGGCCAAGCAGCATCAGAGGAGCAGGAAGGCTGACGTTTCGGGCCTAGACCGTTCTTCAGAAGAAGGGTCTAGGC